AATTTGTTCTATGCCCGTGGAACTTTAGTTTAAAGGGTACCAAAGCATAAAAGCTTCTTCTCACAGGATTCTTTTGGCGGGGATCACGATACCTCTAGGAAAGTGACCGACGAGATCTTCTTGGGCGGGTAACCGCCAAATGGCCCTTGCCCCAGTGATTGGGAAAACGGTGCTCCTCGCACTAGTCGATGGAATCTTATATACATAAGAAGTTGATCCTCACTATTCTATTTATCTCAACATGCACACATGCCACCTCATCAAAGGCCCACCACTACATGAATGAGAAAAAGTTTTTCATTATTAGTTGATTTCATGCGCACCTTTCACCTCACCATACATGCCACCTTATCAAAGTTCCACTCAACATGCATGAAAAAAAGTCCTCCATTACGTTATGCTACTTATATTCAAAATATTTTCTGACTACACAATAGTCAAATACAATTTTTTTAGATTTAGTTCATATACTATTAATTCAATGATAGAAGCTTCTTACCATTAAATCACTGAAATATATTGCAATCGATTCCCACAACAACGCACGGGTATTATCTAGTTTCACCGTTAGGGAAACGCCATTCCTATTTCTAGTCATAGGATTGACCGAAGACTCGTGGTCCTGCTGTCCCACCAGGCCACCACAGTCCACACCCCGTTAATTGAGTGGTAGCTAGTCATCGACAGGAAAAACAAATGCAGGATGGCCGGCTACGGAGACAATTAAACGGTGTCCTGCCTGTTGTCCGGTGTCTCTATCTAGTGTTACCTGCTCTCTGGCGTTGGACTACAGCCCGGCCGGTTCTTGCACGCGCTAGGTCAGGGGACAAGACTTTCTAAACTCCAACGACTCTAGTCAAGTTTGCAGCGCTAGCATCTCGAGGGAAGACGTTCATACTTCAGCGTCGAGCCAACATCATCAATGTGATCGGAAGACCGGACCATGACGTCCAGGCCTTTGACGCGTTTACTTGACTACAGACAGGGCTATAGATGTGTGTATCTCTACTAGCTTGCTGCAAGGCTGCACCACCGTACACCATCACTTCTCGTCTTCACAGCAGAACTCTCGTGAGTTGTGGTCATCAACCAAAGCTACTGCTATCTATCCTACGACCGATGCAAGCTCCGTCGTGTCCTGTCCCCCGCTTGATGCGGGCGCTGGCGTTACAATGCCTCTCGGTGTGGCTCTGCTCGTGTGCAACGGCAGCGTCGCTGGCCGTGCCCGAGCTTAGCCGCACTGGCACGGCCGACGAGCACAACCTCCTCTTCTTCAAGTCGGAGCTTTCGGATCCGGCAGGCGCTCTGTCTTCATGGAACACGTCCATCCCCCTGTGCAGGTGGCGAGGAGTCACTTGCGGCCGTCGACACCCCAAGAGGGTCGTCGCGCTGCACCTCAACTCGTCCCACCTGGCTGGGCGACGTGTCTCGCCGTTCTTGGGCAACCTCACCTTCCTCAGGACACTCAACCTTGGTGACAACGACCTTGGCGGGCAGGTGCCGCCGGAGCTTGGTCGGCTGAGCAGGCTGCAGGTGCTGAACCTCAGCCTGAATGCCCTCCAAGGAAGCATCCCGGCAGCTTTGGGAAGGTGCAGTAAGCTGCGCGTCCTCAATGTCAGGAATAACCTCCTCCAAGGTGAGATCCCTGCTCAGATAGGCTCCCTGGAAAATCTAGAGATCCTCAACCTTTTCGCCAACAATTTGTCGGGGCAGATTCCGCCGTCGATAGCCAACCTGTCTTCGCTCCAAACACTCAACCTTGGGAACAACACTCTGTCAGGGGCCATTCCATCATCTTTTGGTCGCATGCCCCGCCTCTCCTTGCTTTCGCTCCAGTTTAACAACCTTTCTGGACTCATCCCTCCTCCAATATGGAACATTTCTTCCTTGAAAGGATTGTCCGTTGTCGGCAACGCGCTCAGTGGCACGATACCTGCAGGCGCATTCGCTAACCTCCCTCTTCTCCAATTGTTCTACATGAGCTACAACCAGTTTCATGGCCACGTCCCTGCCATATTGGCAAATTCCTCCGAGCTGCAGAGAATTGAGCTCGGGTACAACTTCTTTAGTGGCACGGTTCCTCCAGAGGTTGGAGGCTTGCAGAATATTGAATCGCTGGCTCTCTCGAACAATCTGCTACAAGCTACGACTCCAAGTGACTGGAACTTCATGTCCACCTTATCCAATTGCTCCCAGTTACAATATCTGGACTTGGCCTCAAACGAATTAGGAGGGATGCTTCCTTCGTCGATATCTAACCTGTCAACATCGCTCGTATATCTGTCCCTCTCTCATAACCGGATACTAGGGAACATGCCTGAAAGAATTGGAAATCTTCTCCAGTTGCAGGTCCTATCCCTTGAGAATAATCTTCTCACGGGAACTCTTCCATCTTCTTTGAGCATCCTTACCAACTTGGGAGATCTGTCCCTGGGAAGGAACAACTTGAGTGGGAGCGTCCCGTTGACCATCGGAAATCTTACTCAGTTAAGCAACTTGTACCTCGGGCACAATACTTTCAGCGGTAGCATACCAAGCACTGTGGGGAACTTGGCATCCTTACTGAATATCGATTTGTCAACCAACAACTTGACAGGGATAATTCCCAGTAGTTTATTCAACATCAGCACACTCTCTCTAGGTTTGGATCTCTCCTATAATTGTTTGGAGGGGTCGATACCGTCTGAAATTGGAAATCTAAAAAACCTTGTAGAATTCCGAGCGGCGTCAAATAGATTATCACATGAAATCCCTCCTACCCTTGGTGACTGCGAGATTCTCCAAAACATATATCTACAAAACAATTTCCTGGAAGGTAGTATTCCGCCACTCTTGAGTAGACTGAAGGGTTTAGAAATCCTAGACCTCTCAAACAACAAGTTATCAGGCCAAATACCAAAGTTTTTGGAGGACCTCAACACACTTCACTATCTAAACCTCTCCTTCAATAACTTTGTTGGTGAAGTGCCGTTTACCGGTATCTTCACGAATGCTACTACAGTTTCAATGCAAGGTAATGATAAACTTTGTGGTGGAATCCAGGATCTTCACCTGCCCCCATGTTCTTTTGAATCATCAAAGAAGAACAAACTTCCTTTGAAAGCAATCATTATTCCCCTAGTTGCGGTGTTGGGTGTCATTTTCTTGGTCTTTTTCCTGCTTGCTTGGAACAAGCAAAGATCAAATGGTAACCCTTCGACTGCAACTATCCAAGGCTACCCTTCGGTTTCTTACCTTACATTGGCAAAAGCAACAAATGGTTTCTCCACAGCAAACTTGTTGGGTAGTGGCACTTTTGGCTCTGTATATAAAGGAAACTTTGGCGGAGATAGGGGTGACAGTGCAAATATTGTTGCTATCAAAGTACTTAAACTCCAAACACCGGGTGCACTCAAAAGTTTCACAGTGGAATGCGAAGCAATCAGAAACACTCGACATCGAAATCTTGTCAAGATAATGACATTGTGTTCAAGCATTGATTCCAAAGGGGACGACTTCAAAGCAATCGTCTTTGAGTTCATGCCTAATGGAAGTCTAGAAGATTGGTTGCATCCAGACCAAAATGAGGAGAAGCATTTGGATCTCCTTAAAAGAGTGAGCATACTACTGGATGTGGGGTATGCACTCGATTATCTTCACTCCTACGGCGCTGCACCAATTGCTCACTGTGATCTTAAGCCAAGCAATGTACTTTTGGATGTTGATTTGGTAGCCCATGTTGGTGACTTTGGACTTGCTAGGATTCTTACCGAGGGAAACTCTTTTCCCCAAAGCTCAACAAGCTCAATGGGATTTAGAGGGACAATTGGGTATTCTGCTCCAGGTTTGCCCGATTTGCTTTCTTCCCCATGTTTCCTTAAAACGGTTTACATCACCGAAATGCTAATATCTTCAAATGTTCAATGTTATAGAGTATGGTGCTGGAAATGTGATCTCTATACAAGGAGATGTGTACAGCTACGGAATTCTCATCTTAGAAATAGTAACTGGGAAGAGGCCAACTGATAGCATGTTCATACACGGATTAAATCTCCACAAGTATGCTGAAATGGCCATACATGGTGGAGTAATGGACGTTGTTGACATGCGGCTTTTTTCCCACATTGAGAAGGGGTCGCCAGCCACAGATGACTCTTCTACTTTTTCAAGAACGTATGATCCTTCTGATGAGAGAAGGATTGACTGCCTGACCTCACTTCTTAGACTTGGAGTATCTTGCTCTCAGGAAATGCCCGTGAGTAGAATGTTGATCAAAGATACCATCAAAGAGTTGCGGTCTATCAAAGATTTCCTCGCGTAGAGGAAGGTTAACTTTTTTATGAAGGCATGCCAGATGCCAGAGCCTATTGTATTTACCGTACAAAGTATTCTGAGCACTATTCTTCAATTAGTAGCATGTATCTCTCTACATTTTTCATACATCTGCTAGTTTCTTGACAGAAATGTATCTTAAGATTTTATAGAAACACCAATGTAGTATCAAAAAGTAATTCTCTTCGGGAAGGTGACTATTCTAATGTGACTGAAATTTATCGGAATCCAGTCAGTATTATTGACATGTATAGCTCGACTTCCATGACCAGACAATGCACATCATCATTCAGTCAGCTAGATCTAGCAGTACATATCATCCAAGTGGTGGCAAGAGCCTGCGTTGCCAAACAATTGTTGAACCCCAATAATAAACAGTAACATCATATGTTTCCATAAAAGAACCATGAATGATTACCTAAGGAACTTATAAGCATCTCATACACTCTGTAATTTTCTGTTTATTACATGATTACCTCTAACACAAACAGTCAGGGGGTGAGCTAGGATTTGGACATGAAGGGTGCAAGGAAGGAAAATAAAAATCGTTCCAATGGCACCACACAGGAATACGTACCAACGTCGAACATTTCGATGATGTCATCAGATATGACCTTTGCAGCTATTTCCTCGGGTGCATTTGCATTTTCAGCAATGAGCTTGAAACACGGGTCTACTTTCATTGTATTCTACCTCTCCATCCTTCAATCATTGGAACATTAAAGGAGGAGCGACATTAGATTTCTAAATTATAATCATGCCTTGTCAAATTAGTAAATTAAATTATTACTTCAAGGGAATTTGACTTCTATATACAGCAGTTCCGTACCTTGATTCCTTGAAGTTGATCTGTTGATTTACAATGCCGGTGAAGCACACAAGCAGCCGTGGTCTCTCTCATGGTTTCAACCGCCGTGGAGTGAAGTGCTCCCTGCCTGCCTGCCCTATGCGACAGCGGCGGAGTCAGCAAGAACCGAGAAGCACATACCGAACCACCAGACCTGGAATCCTGAATGCACGTAGCCAAGGCGGATACACGGCGACCTGATGGTCGTCCGCCTCCGCGGACTCCGTGGTGGCCGGGCGGACAACGGATCCGGCTTCCCTGTCCTCTGCTCCTCCGGCCTGGGTGCCGCGCAGCCTGCGCTGGGCCGACATTGCCGAGGACGAGGATGTTCGTCTCGCGGAGGAGCTCCGCTTGATGCCGCCGACGCTCGGGGAGTTCCTGGCCATGGCGCCGCGCCTCCGGCCGCGGAGGGCCAGAAAGGGAAGCTGCCAAGCTCCGGGATTGGCGCCATCACGGGTGCGCCTGCCGCCGGTGGGTGGGCCGTGTCCTGCCTGGACCGTTTAAGCCTGTCCATCCCTCGGGCCAGGCCGGGCCAGACAAAGCCCAACGAAGAAAACCTAGGCCCGAGCCTGGCCTGGCCCGGCCGTCGGGCCTAAAATCCACTCCCAAGCCCGGCCCGTCAACGTGAAAGCCTGTCGGGCCTCTTCAATAAATCACAAATATGACGGGCCCAGACTCAGCCGGCGGGCAAGATCAGGCCAGGTTGGGTCGGGCCGTCCGGGCTGGGTTGCCCATGGCCAGGTATCTTGATGCCCGCATGTACGTGGCAGGGCTGAGGTCTGTTGGGCCTCCCCTAAGCCATCTTGAGAAGGAGCTTACTCGTGACGCTAACCAGGAAGTTGGTATTTTTTCTGCATGCTTTTGGAATTTTCACATCAGAACGAAGAAAGACATCGGAGGCCAATCAAGGGAGCCATGTGGGCTCCACGCGCCTTGGATCGTGTCTCAGGGCATGGTCGTGTGGGACCACTTCTCCCTAGCACTATGCACCATTGTCCCTCAAAGCCCCCACCTTTATAATCTCTCGAACCCCTGGGAAATAACTATCGAGGAATTTTTTGCCCCCGCCACCACGCGTTCTGAGGGGTTCCAATCTAGAGTCCTTTTTGATACTTTATCAAAAGGGAGGAAATCATTGTCGGAACTATCTCCATCAACCTCACTACAACCATGGACCTAGACGAATGTTGATAGTTCGCTTGGTCATGAACCGTCGCCAGACTTGGCTCTCCGTCAAGCGGGAGAGCTTGAAGGCTCATGAAGTCACAAGTTGTGATGACTTTGGAGTTTGTTGTAAATGTTGCATTCATGTTCCAAGTCGTTTTTGTGTTGTTGTTGCATACTTTTGACTTGATGTTGCATACAAGTTCAACGATATTTCTTGGTGATTTATTGCGATTGGCCAATGGGGCTTCTTCGCATACATAAGCTTTTTATTGTACGGGTGGGTTCAAAATGTTGTAATGTTTTTCACATATTTTTCATTGGTCGTGAGAAAAAAGTTGCAATGACGATGGCACACAAATAGCAAAATATTATATGTGGGCCCATGCTTAGCATCAGCGGTTGGCTAATGGAAATACTTGACAACACCCAGTTTTTTTAAAAGGCTTATGCTACGCGTCGGTCGGCTAAGCTTTTAAAAATCGACCTAGTCACGAGCCGTTAGATCTGCGCCATTGAATGCCCAAGCGGCCTCCTCCACCATTGCACCTTTGCAGCAGAGGTAGTGTTGTAGAATTTTTTTGCGGCAGAGGTCGTGTTGAAGAAATGTTTTGCATATTTTTTGCAACAAAGGTCATGTTCCAGAATTTTGTTTGGAATAGAGGCCGTCTTGCAAAAAATGCAACAAAGGTCGTCTTGCAGAATTGTTTTTGCAAGAGAGTTCATGTTGCATAAAAAAACCACACCCCACGCATTGAAACATTTGTTATGTTTTAGAAACGCCATCCATGTTGCAATCCATCAAATCCTGATTGAGAGAGAAAGTCAGAGGAGAGAATGCAATGGGAGCTCAGCCGGGGGGAGAGTGGGAGGGGTAAGGAGAGAGAAGGGGGGAAGTGGAAGGGTTGGCAGTGGCATCCTCCAACGATCGCCGAAGGGGCAGAGGCCATGCGTGCGGAGGTGCACGCACGTCTCCGGCATGAGGCTCAGTGGTGTCGGCTCAAGGTGGGAGTCAGGATGAAGAGAGTGAAGGGTGCATGCGGGCTGGGTTTAGAAGAGGATGGGATCTATCAAAAGGACTTGCATGATCAATTTCATTCAACAACCATACACCCGACGGACACAATGACGCCGACAACCTAGTTCCGCTTCTAGTTATACAAACAAGACCCAAAGACTAGGGAAAACCTAGGTCTATTATGTGCGACATCGCGAGTGCCAGTACACAACAGATAACAGAAACAGGACTTGAAGAGCCCCCTCACCCTCCTCTGGCTCTCCCACGGGTGGTAGGGAAGGAACCCTAGTCGTCGGCCGCCCCGCCACCTCCCCTCCCCTCTTTCACCTCCCGCCGCTGCCAGAGGATGCACACGGGCGAAGCTCCGCCGATGCCGGCGTCGGCGGGGCTTTCTCACCCCTTGCACGAGAGGGGCTTAGTGTGGGCCGGGGCACCATGGAGCATCGGATGCGGTCATCTGGTACCGGCGCGGTGGGCTACGTGGTGGTGAAACGCGCACATGGTCTGGATGTGGCGCCGTCGGCTTGATCTGGCCCTGCGACGGCACAGCCAACAGGTGGCCACGTATGTCGTGGCCACATTGGTTGCTGGAGATGGGAGGTGGTGGGCGTGCTGGAGGTCAGGGACAACGGCCGCGGATGGCGTGCTGGTGGCTTGGCTAGATCTGGCTCGCTGCGGCGCGGACCGCAGTTGGCGAGGCCTGCGGGCGGCTACCTCGACCAGGGCCACTCCGGCTAGTAGGGGTGGCAGCACAGTAGCGGTGGTTCGACCCCCTTCTCCGGATTTTGGGGGTTCTCGGAGCTGCGGATGGAGGCGCGTCCGGCAAGTGGAGCACGTCGGCACGGTGCTTGTCGTCTTTGGCTGGCCATGATGGCAGGGGCGCTCCGGGGAGTTAGCAGAGGTGCCTCCAAGGTTTGCTTTTGCCAGGGACGACAATGGCGACCTGCCCCGATTTGATAAATTACATGGTGGTTGCCAGCCAACCACCCGAGACTTTCCCCTACCCTGCTCTGGCCGGCTGGGCCCCGTTCTTGCCAAAAGGGCCTGCTTTTCTGGCAGCAGCGTCGGTTGACTATGTTGAAGGGGGTGGGGCGGTCTTGGATTCAAGGGCGGCAATTCTGGTGGTGGGAGCACGGTGCTTGTGGGCGGAACCCGTAGCTTAGGTGCTGCCCGGTGGCCATGGCCGTGTGGGCGGCGTGGTGGCCGGGGAGCGACAATCAGTGGCGGTGGTGCCGGGGTGAAAACCTACTCTGTCTTCGGGCAGGCCGGCGGTGGCGAATTCGTGCCCTTCTTGAAGGCGTCACCGTGGTCCTCATTGCAAGAAACCACCACATTTGTGGCTAGGTTTGCATGAAACTACCAACTCGTTAATCCATTGCAAAAAACACCGTAAAATCTCTTAACTTGTTGCAAAAAGCACTGAACAGCCGTTTAGCCTCGTTTGATCTCTTTTCCGACAGGTGGGCCTGTTAGTTTCATGACGGACAGGCAAACGACGCCGTTAGGACCAAAACGGTCAAGACGCCGCACCACTCGGTCCTATTCAGACAGTCCTCCCCTGCGCCCCTGTCCTCTCTCTCGCCCCGCTCCCCTCTCCTCTCTCGCCCCTGCTCGCCGTCGGTGATGGCCACCTCGCGTGGCGGTGATGATGGTGGTGGCGGTGGTGCTGGCGATGCATCTGGTGGCAGTGGTGCTCCTGCAGATCCAACAGAGGTTTGCGACAGTTCAAACCCATCTCAGGCACCACCTCCTCCACAGCCATCATCGTCGGCTTACTGTGTTGAATACACAGCGGCGAGGGCGTTTGCAAAGGCCGTCAAGGAAGATCCAGAGGGGAGCCATCACTACGCATCCTTCTTCGGCGGTGTCTCATAAGTTTTGTCTTTCCATACCCCGATCTGACTTCTAGGGTTATGTTTGTGAAAGTGCGTTAAGTCAACTAGAGGGGGTGTGAATAGGCGATTTTTATGAATTCTTCACTTAGGAATTTTAGGGTGAGGAAATTCTAAGAGAAGAACTAATTGTAGCGGAATAAGTACTCAGATGTAAACATAACAGAACATAATCATAGTCTTCATGATGAAATGAAAACAAGCACAGAGTACAGAACGCGTAAACACATGATAAAACATGATGAAGACAATCGGACTAAAGAAATTGAACTAAGGAAATTAAGAAAGACTTCAATCAAAGTCTTCAAACAGATATGAACAAGCACACAACACAGTATTGAGGAAATGGAAGGGTTGAGGAAATAGAACCAGTAGGCTTGGTGAAGACAATGATTTGGTAGACCAGTTCCAACTGCTGTGACAGTCATACGTCTGGTTAGGTCAGCTAGGTATTCAAACCTGAGGACACACAGTCCCGGACACCCAGTCCTGAACACGCAGTTCAAGACACTTAGTCCTCACCGTATTGCCCTTGAGCTAAGGTCACACAGACCTCGCCCAATCACTCGTGGTAAGTCTTTAGGTGACTTCCAAACCTTCACTAACTCGGTCACTCGGTGATCCACAATTTCCTCTTGGATGCTCTAGACCATGACACCTAACCGTCTGGAAGATGCACAGTCTTCAAAGGTAACAAGCGTCGGATCCATGCATGATCAATCTCTTCAGTGATGCTCAATCACTTTCACCCTGTTTGGATGTAGGAAAATTAACTTGGAATTGCCAATCTAGAATTGCCAGGCAAAATTCTGTTGTTTGGAGTGGTACAAAATTTGGGCTCGGAAAAGTTGGCCCAATTCCAAGCGACCCACCTGTGCATGTCCACCCCTCGCGCAAAGTTTCCGAGCCGACGAGCTCGGAAAGCCTCAGAAACGCCCCGCACCCCCACCCCCCGTACCTGTTCGCTGGACGAGCTCCTCTCGCTCGCGAACGTATCTCCCTCCCGACTCCCCTGAAGCAGCCGCCGGCGTCGGTGTCGGCGGTCATTTCTCCGGCCCTCCTCTCCCTCTCCCTCTCCCATCCGTCCCCTCCCTCCTCTTCCTCCCATTCGTCTCCTCATCCTATTCTCCGGCCATGGCGCGACCTCCTCCAGCGAGGCCCTCAAACCCTAGATCCTATCGGGTATTTGCGGCGGGAATAGGTCGTCTGCAGGGGAACATCGGCGGGAGTGGCGCCATCCCCTCCCGTGTGGAGCTCAAAATTTTATGGTGTCCTAAGGGGAACTTGATTTTTTTGGTGTTCACTGTATCTC